ATCTTGGGAATGCATGGACGGATTTGTCCAAATCCGATATATGTCTATCACATACATTTATACTTATTTATCAAAGCCAAAGAACCGCCGAAAACGTCATCCTTCATGTCGCCAACTTTGGGCCACATGTTACCCTTTTATCAGCTAATTCCATCAAAACAACACCTACCCCTGCAATTCATTCACTCTGAATCACAAAACTCACAAAGTTACCAAAACACCCCCAGATCACCCCATTTCCCCTACCAATCCACCCCCACAGTACCCAGTATACCAATCCTAGCATTCCTGCTATTATTTCCGTATTTTTCCGTATTTGTATCGCCCATCATTCTATCCCTATTCACCCATCTATCTGCCCTAGCCCCAGAGCCCATGCCTAGCCCCATACATCCTCCCCATACCCTGCATACAGCTATCCTAGCCCTAGTGCACAATTACCACCCATTTTCCTTCCCTATCCTACCCCCTGCCCTACCCCCTACCCATCCCCAAACCACCCCCCCTACCCCGGGGCCACCCCATACCCACCCACACATTTTTTCACGCATTTTTTGCCTATTTTTTCGCCCAATTTTCCGGCCATAATAGCCACCAGCAGCATTGCTCTTTAATAAAGAGCCCTTATTAGCCCAGGCCATTAAAGTACTGGGCTCTTTGCAAAGAGCTCCATGCTTAGTACAGGCACTCTTTATAAAGAGGCTACATCATCTGGTGACCATGCAACATCGAGCTCGTCCTCCCTGCACCTGGTCGCCGCTTCCTATCCCTTAGAGCCCAACCACAGCCCGTGCAAGATGTATTCGAGCTGGCCCTCGACAACCTGACATGCGACATATACAGTATTGACGTATTTCCCGATCGCCGTATGCAAGCCGATATGAAGGTTGGTGCCCTTCTTGCTGCCCTTCGAGGTATGAGCCATCACGACATCGAGACTCGTATCTGGAATGATCCCATTTATACGCGGTTGTTTGGATCTTTAGTGTGTCCCTTTGCATCTGTATTGGACAGTGTCGAGCTGACCACCCTTTCATTGACAGCTTGAGCCCCGAATCCCTCTCATGCGATCCTCTGTTCACGACATCGCGGACAGTGTTGTGCTGGACGAGTTCGACTTGCCAAATAAGGCTGCAGAGAGTGCGCGTGAGGTTTTCCGCCTGACCGCCACGTGCACTCATCTCTACCCCCTCGGTTCCAATGGTGTATGTTTTCCTTTCTAGCATGTCTTATAACTTCTGACACCCACTGTTGGTAGAAACCCGATCATTCCCGACCCTTCTACCATCAATCCATTCTTTCGACATTTAGTAAGAAGTTTCTATTCGTGTCCCCGAACTTCCTTGAGATACATTCTCGTGAGCTCGGAATCGCTCATTCCGAGGACGACACTACACCCGTGCGTGTCCCTGGCCCTATGATTGCATTTGTTGCCGTTGCGGTAAGTCTCCACTTGCTCATGTTCTGTTCTGGAGTCTTATCCATGTTTTAGGTTTATGCCTCCCTAATCTAGTGGAGGAATGGTCACCATGTCCCGATTGAGTTCTCCCGCGACAATTTCAACCACACCTACAGGCAGTATTGCAAGCGGTTTGAAGATCTTCGTGAGAGGTTTGGCGTTGACGTTTATCGCCAGTACCTGTCTGAGTTCTACAAGACCGCTATGTATGTACCTGTTCCTTTTCATGTTGCACATATTAATCATGTACCGTTACCAAGACTTTCGGCTCCGACGAGGACATCTCTATCGGTGCTGATGATGATTGGGATGCAGCTTTGATTGCTTCGCGCTTTGCGGCTGATGAGCCTGGCCCGTCAACGTAGTTCTATTTTTTCCCTGTTTACTTTGTCATGGTTGTTCTTATTAGTTGATTTGACCCTCCATGCTTCACACTATGGCCCCCCACACTCATTTACTCTACACTAACTGTAGTCACTCTTTTGTTGTATCTCTGTCATGGCTCGGCTGGTTTAAGTACCTTGTCATATTTCTGTGCTTTGCTTTGATAGTATCCAATAGCACACCTGTTGTCTCTCATAATGAAGCCCCGGAGTGACATATTTTATTGTGTGATCACACCACCTCGTGCTAATCCTTCGCATCTGATCTCAAAGCTTTGTCTAATTTAGTTCAACTTGGACCAAGCAAGCAATAACTAGCAAGGGGGGTGGATAATAAGCCGAAAATTATACATCAGGCTTTTCGGGTACAGTTATGCTCGAATTTGTCTACTTAGGCATAAAAAGGCTACATATGACCTAGAAAACCACGGCAGGTTTTTCCTGATGTATCATGCAGATATACTTGCTTCGCTTGTCAGCCTCAACGACACTCAAGACGACAGCAAAGGCTGACAGCTCCAAAGAGTCGAGCTTGTCAAGCTCAAACTCCGGATGTGAGACATCCGAGTCCGATTCTGAGGACTATTCAACTACTCACTTTCCATAGACGTCCTCTCCCGACTTTGGGGATATGTCACAACTACACCAGAACAACCATATCCTACGAAAAGGGGTTGCTGGCAGGCAATCTCTCACTCAGAAACACACACCAAGGCGAGGAAAAGGTTGTATAGGGGGGAGATTGTCGATCTCAAGACTAGAGTACAAAACAGGAAGTAGGTAGGTTTATATACTAGCTAGAAACAAACACAACCAAACCCAGGCCACAGTGGCACAGAAACTCGGAAAAGTATGGCCCAACTGTGGCACACACCAGGAAATAATAGAAAAGACATGGAAATGACGAAAGGTCATGACAGGATAGCTCTCTACAATCCAACTTCACAGAACCTGTTGTCGACCGGAACAATGACTCAGATTCTGATGAGTCTCGCTCCAGATCATCCAAATGACCATGCGTAACGGTAGAGGAGGTAGAGGATGTTGATGATTTTGGAGAATGCCACCAATGTTATTGGATTCAGAACTATCCCTTAAAGGCTAGGTCAATCATTGAGGAGAACCTGGCATATACAAAGTATGAGGCTTTTTGTGAGAAGCAGAAGCAGGTGACACACTGTGGGCACTGTGGGATGATATTGACGACTGGGAGATGGCGAGGTGGATGATGGATGCTGCAGTGAGCCAGACAAAGCTGGATGCATTCCTAAAGCTAGGAAAGATATGTCAACGTCAGCATATGCACGAGCTCTGTGTTTAATTTTGAAAGAATAACAGTACACTAGACAGCGGGTCGTACACAACGGTAGTAGACAAGGTACACAATACGCTACTGGTCCTTTAAATATGAATTGGCCCATGGCTGCCCCGACAGACCATGGCCAGCATACAAATAATCCGTTTACGACCCCAGAACTGTCAACATCTTTTGTGACTCATAGACCAACCCGCATGGCGCCTCTCTCGCAGCCAGTTCCTCATTCGCATTCTTCCATTTCGGTCTTGAATCCTTCTCCAGCTGAGGGTATTTGGCAATCACTTGCATCTTGTGTTTCAGCGCCTGGACGCTTGGTGTTACGACCGGGCTTAAGCTAGGCTTAAGGGTGGCATCGGTTTCGTGGTGTGGGGAACGATTGAGTTGTTTGGCGCCGTCAGCTTGGGCGATCAGCAAGGGGCTTCTGAGGTTCTGGATCCGGGGTTGTGGCTCGGTTCATCTAGACACGGTGTCCGGTCTAGGATCAAGTTCGTTTAGATGAGGTGTCCTCTTCTGAGGCAGGCGTCCTGCTAGAGCTGATTGTAGATTCTAGGTTTCAATGGTAAGGCTCTTCTGGAGAAGAGATTTGAGGGTATTGTCTTGAGGTCGCACAAGACGATATCGAGAATTCTGGGGTGAATTCAACTGTAACACTGTAGGTACAACACAAGTGAACAGGTTGGGGAATCTCGACTACAGAGGTCCGATATTTATACTAATACAAGTCTGTGAGAACTGTCACATCATCAAGGTCTGCCACATCAGCCTAAGAGTTCATATGTGACGCCGAGCCAGAGTCAAGCCGAGCCAAGATAATACGTGTCAGTAAGAAACCATGTATCCGCAGTCCATCATACGTGTCCAGGAAGATATCATACGTGTCCGTAGTGAGTATACGTGTCCGTCAGAGAAGAAGACATGTTTATAGGATGTTTAGAGGGATTTTAAAGAGAAGGGATCGAGCCAAAGTCCGGGAGTACACTGCCTAACTAGGAACGTGGTAAAAGAAAAGAAAAGGAAAAGATATACAAGATAGCAGAGAAGAAAAAGTGTCCATAACACTTAGCTCAGAACTTGTACTATGATGTCACGTTTGATCCTGCTGTAGCTCGCTCAGAATTGTATTCCATCTCTGCTAATGTTACGAATTTTGAACCAGGTGCACGTTCTCACGCACAAGATCAATTACAATATTCTCGTTCTCAATTGCATGGACAAGGACCGTTACATTACGATAGACTAACGCCCCATCCCACAGCATGGTCGACTCCGGCTCGGCAGCAGCAGTCTCAACATCTCGGTAACATCGGAGGTTGTCACAACCGGGCGATAAGGGAGTCTGAATACCCCATGGCTCAAGACAAGGAATGGCAGAAAATCGGAAAGGTAATAGATTGAGACTAGTAGTCGACCAGGAATAGACGATCCAAAAGCTAAGAAAATACATGCAAGTGCTATGAGGTATTTATACCAGTCCGAGAACACCCCAGTCGTAAGTAAAAAGAAAGCTAAGACGAATATCTCAAAGAGGATCAAAGGAAGAGGACAAATGATTGTACACTAAGTTCGTACACTAAAGAAATACTGAGCGGTTTAAACAACAAGTCTGTAGCGTGTAAACGAAGCTATCCAAGACAGGACGAGAGGATAAGATGAATGATGAGGCTAAGTGAAAGGAAAAATAAATCTGGAGAACAATGGGTACAGGAATGCGAACTTAAACATTTATCCCAGAGAGCTCAGGCACAGATAAAATCCAGAGACACATAGAACAAATGTATGAACCAGTAGGCATCTCCCGATATCAAAACTTCGGCTATTGAGTGGAAATTGGTTAAGATATACGAGGGGGAACACTATCAGATGGCCCTGAGTGAGGTCAAGACCGAGATCACGTTGTAGTATATTCTACAGTGGGCCAATCACCGAGTTTGTTGGATCATTGGAAGCCCGAGTTTAAGAGCATCCTCTAGAATTTTGTTCGGAGTAAAACCACCAAATATAGCATCCTGAAGCCTCGTCCTAAGGGGTGTAGAAATCCTAGTGCGTCGGAGTCCGAAACGTTCCACAGGAACCGGCAGCTCGGTGCGAGCTTCCGTAGCTGTGATTGCTCCTCACGTACGGCTTGAATAAATTCGTGGAAGTCCCTGATAAATTGGGAAAGCCTCCTTGGAATGTTGCAGTCTATGCGGATACTTGCTCCGTCATGTGTTGATAGGTAAAATGTCATGTGAGACATTTTACGACGGTCGAGACTTAAGAAACGAGGCTCAACGCGCAAGTGCGGGACTTGCCGAGCCAGTTCCCTTATGTGGCTTGTGGGGGTTCGACGAGGTTGGAAGGGCAAAATAAAGTGATAGAAATGTCGGGAAAAATGAAGGGGACTCGTAGAGACAGTGGCATCATTTGTGGGTGGCGCGCGAAGGACAATAATACGGAAAACGAATTAAAAAACAGGGCATATGCGTAGGGTACAGGTGGCAGTTATGACAGAGGTCATACCGGCCAGATAGACTTCAAACATTATCGGGAGGGGCTAGATGAGATTGTTACAGGATGGAGGAGAGATGATGTAAGAGATCACCCGGCCTCACCAGCTGGGGTGGCACACTATGAGGATCATCGTGACATTAGAGCGGGACACGGCGACGTTTCGGGTGTTCATGATGAGACTTATGGTGATCCTGGTGGCGAGAGGTACAGGCGTAGCTGTACCATCTTTATAAAGAGTCCCTATAGTAAGACTGGGACCCTTTGCAAAGAGCCTACTATATTAATGAGCCTGGGCTAATAAGGGCTCTTTATAAAGAGCAATCCTGCTGGTGGCTATTCTGGCCGGAAAAATGGGCCAGAAAATAGGCAAAAAATGTGTGAAAAAATGTGGGGATGGGTGTGGGGTGGCCCTGGGGTAGGGAGGGTGGTTTGGGGATGGGTAGGGGGTAGGATAGTGGGTAGGGTAGGGTAGGAAAATGGGTGGTAATTGTGCACTAGGGCTAGGATAGCTGTATGCAGGGTATGGGGAGGATGTATGGGGCTAGGCATGGGCTCTGGGGCTAGGGCAGATAGATAGGTGAATAGGGATAGAATGATGGACAATAAAAATACGGAAAAATACAGAAATAATAGCAGGAATGCTATGATTGATATACTGGGTACTGTGAGGGTGGAGTTGGTAGGGGAAATGAGGTGAT